TTAGCTGGGCCAGTGTGGGCTGTGATTGGTTAGCTGGGTCAGTGTGTGTTGTGATTGGTTAGCTGGGTCAGTGTGTGTTGTGATTGGTTAGCTGGGTCAGTGTGTGTTGTGATTGGTTAGCTGGGTCAGTGTGTGTTGTGATTGGCAGCACTCGGCGCCTGGTCGAGAAATGTCACGCCCCTTACCATAGCCGCCTGTGAGCTTCAGTGTAAATATTGCATCAAAATCAAATCAATTTGAGTGTGATTTAAACCCGGATGATTGTAACCGCTCTAAGTTCATCTGCCTTGGGAAAGCTAGCGTGTCTCCGATATAGTGATAACACTCGTTGCCTTCTCTAGTGCAGCTCAGCCAGGTCTCGTCCCATTCGTCGATATTTGTGATTTCACAAATCCCGGAAAATATGCGTTGTAGTCCAAACGAGTCGTTCTTTGTAGTTTTTGAAAAGAAAATTTCTGTTCAATAAAATATCTCCTTTTGAAGTGGACTTTGAGCTTTGTAACTTTGCAGATCTTTTTAATGCTCAAACAGCAACATTACAGGCTAACTAAAGTTGAAAAAGTGAAAAAGCATAATAGGACCCCTTTAACACACCTCATTAGGTGAATTCACTGTCTATATTTACATCCCGCTGAGGGTGATGCAAGTGACCGCATCCAATTGAGTCTTTTCCAGTAATCGCCTGTTCTGACAGTAATGCCTGCTGACTGCATGACAGGTTTGGAAGAGCGGCCATGTTTACATTCGCATTACATTTGAACACGGTCCGAGCAGCAGAACTCTGATTTGTGTCCAGAGGGGTTTCAGATAGTACAGTTAAATCTGAAGAAACGTGTGAATCTTCAAACATCGTTCACATTATGTGAAGATATCGAGCAGCTGCTGTTTGTCAGGTGGAAGGTGTGAACTTGTTAGAGTGAACTTCAAGTTAAGTGACAGAAAGCACGTCCACACGTAAACATACTGACATTCACTTAGAAAAGGAAGGTTTGTCAAGACAAACTTTGAATGTTGGCTTGACTGTTTGAAAAAACAAACCTTCACATTTGAGGGTTATAAGCCAGGGATGTGAAGTTTGACAGTTTAATTTGAGACAATTTAATTTATTTCTTCAGCTATATTTACATTTAGTCATGTAACAGATTTAGCAGAGTATAATTGCTATGATTTGTGTAGAGTAAAAGCTTTTTCTAGGCCACTTACACTACTGTTTAAATGGGGCCTGTCAGATTTATTTATTTATTTTTTAAAATTGTACTTTTAATCAGCTAGGATGCATTAAATTGATCACAAGTGACAGTAAAGACATTGAAAATGTTACAAAAGATTTCTATTTCCAATAAATGCTGAACTAATCAATTTTCCATTCATCAAAGAATCATAAAAAATCTATCACAGTTTCCACGAAAACAACTGTTTTCAATATTGATAATAATAATAAATAATCAGCATATTATGATGATTTCTGAAGGATCATGTGACACTGAAGACTGGAGTAATGATGCTGAAAATTCAGCTTTAATCACAGAAATCAATTAAAGTTCATAAAATATTAAAATAGAAAATATAGTAATATTTAGTCATATTAATATAGTAATAAAGTAATAATAATAGTAATATAGCAATATAAAATATTTCACAGTATTAAAGTTTTTACTGTAATTTTGCTTAAATAAATGCAGCCTTGATGAGCATAAGAGACGTATTTCAAAAACATAAAAAATCTTACCAACCTCAAACCTTTGAATAGTTGTGACTTTCAAAATTTTGTATTTATTTGTTTATTACTATTTTTGTTTAGTAATACAAATTACTAAATTTATTATTTATTACACTTATTATTTATTATTTAGTACTGTAAATATTTTGTGTAGACAAGTTTGTAGACTATGTAAATGTACATCGTTTTAAAAGTTAGAAGTAGTTTCATTTCTGTCTGTAAAACTATAAGTGACAAAAATATGTCAAACCTTTAAACTTACACGATCCCATTGTATTTATTTGTTTATTACTACTTTTTATTTAGTACTGTAAATATTTTGTGTAGACAAGTTTGTAGACTATGTAAATGTACATCGTTTTAAAAGTTAGAAGTAGTTTCATTTCTGTCTGTAAAACTATAAGTGACAAAAATATGTCAAACCTTTAAACTTACACGATCCCAAACAAATGACACCATTGAATTTTGGAAATATCGAGGAAATTTAATGGCTGAATTACAAATTTCAATGGCTGAATTACAAAAACATTAACAAGTAAATACAATTCTAAAATCACAAGCAAATCCTGATCGTTTTTGTAAATTTTTTTTTATTAAAATGCATTAAAAAAATACATCATTAGCACACAATGAAGGAACAAAAGAGCATATTTCAGAACCAAAATTACAAACATACAATGACTGAAAAAGACTTTGTTCTACAGGAGTGTGTTGTGCTTTTTTAGCTCTTTCAGCATGATTAGAATCTGTGCATTTTACAAACACCACGACTCGTGGCCTTCAGTGATATTCACTTCACTGGCAACATCTTGGGTTACGTTCCAAAACCTGTTGAGCTTCATTGACGCCTACATAGGCATCTGCCTTCAAATAAGTGACTGATCTGGAACATTTCACATAGGGAGAAACCCACGGGCCTATTTAAGTTTTGGTACAGATTCTGTGCTGCCTATGTAGGGAGCTCAGTACACTCTTAAAAATAAAGGTTCTACAAGAGCGTTTTCTCAGCAATGAACCTCAAAGAACCTTTCAGTGAACAGTTCCTAAAAGAACCATTTTTTTCCTGATTGTGAAGATTCTTTTCCACTATAACGAAGGTTCCATTGATGTTTTTTTTCATGGAATCATAAATGTCAACAAAGAACCTTTATTTTTAAGAGTTAGGTTTTGGAACAGAACCTTAAAGTCAATAGACTGTTCAAGGCAACACACAATAACGATCAGTACTGATACTGTGGAAATAAATAGATATGTTTTTGGTCTTGTTTTGGGCTAGCAAATCTTAATTTAGCTTGATTTGGATTCTTGATCCATCTCAGTCATAATCAGTGATCACAACGAACTCTTTGGTGAAAATACGACTGTTATAGGATTTGATAGCCACAGACATAAATAGATCCAGACCGAGGCACTGAGAGAGAATCATCATACGACACGTCAGAATTGCAGAAGCAAATAGGGTCTCTATTACCCAGAAGTCCTTGCAGGAGAGACCTGATTGTGAAGATTCTTTTCCACTATAACGAAGGTTCCATTGATGTTTTTTTCATGGAATCATAAATGTCAACAAAGAACCTTTATTTTTAAGAGTTAGGTTTTGGAACAGAACCTTAAAGTCAATAGACTGTTCAAGGCAACACACAATAACGATCAGTACTGATACTGTGGAAATAAATAGATATGTTTTTGGTCTTGTTTTGGGCTAGCAAATCTTAATTTAGCTTGATTTGGATTCTTGATCCATCTCAGTCATAATCAATGATCACAACGAACTCTTTGGTGAAAATACGACTGTTACAGGATTTGATAGCCACAGACATAAATAGATCCAGACCGAGGCACTGAGAGAGAATCATCATACGACACGTCAGAATTGCAGAAGCAAATAGGGTCTCTATTACCCAGAAGTCCTTGCAGGAGAGAATCGACTCCTGCTTGTAACTAGACCAGCTCACGTTTTGAATCCATCTTTCCTGTAGCCTGCAGCTTTAGGCGATAATCAAGCAGAGGCACAATGGGACGGAAAATAACCGCCCACATAAAGGCATCAAAGCGGCCGTGAATCAAGCTGAACACGGGCACTTCTGCTTGGATAACAAGGCCTGAAGGATGACCGATGATTGCGAAAGGAGATACGTCTCTCTTCATCCATCTTTCTACCTGTTTTCTTTGCTCTTTTTGGGGCTCTCGGCCCTCGGGTGATGGCAGCAGGTGTGAGCATGGGAAAAACCTCTGGGTTATGGGCTGAAATATTCACTTACACCTGTTACCTGAATGTATGTGTGTGTGTGTCATGGCCACTTTACCCTCTGTCTATGAGCTTGTGCATGGTTTTGTTATTCAAATAATCACGGGCGATCTCCTTTCAAACGTGCCCAATTATTGTCTCTGATTTCAGTCATTCCAAGAACAAGGTAGGAAAAATAGACACATAATGTAGGTGCTTAGAGCAACATATTTTTCACACTTTAGAGACGTGGAATGACAACAGGTGATTGTTGGACTCTTTGGCTTGAGATGGTTGAGGCCTTTCAGGCACATGACTAAATATCACGTGGAACTCAATCTGGTAAGAATGTCTCCATTATGTGGTTTAACAAGGACATAGAACCTCTTAAATAAATGTTTTAGTGCATTAAAGCTGCATTGGAAAAACATAGACATTACATTACAATTTTCGTATAATTTAGAAAGAATATATTACAGTAGCACAATTTCCAATTTCATATTAAAACAAAGAAGAAAAAAAAAAAAAGAATAGTAGAAAAAAAAAAAAAAACGAAATGTTTGTGACCCGGAAACACATCCTCTTTGGCTCAAATAAATACAAAATTAAAAAAAATACACAAAACATGAAACTGAGCTCAAACAAATCTGAAGAAAGTCATAAAAAGTGATCAACACTGAGGGGGAAAAAATAAAAAACGACGAGTCTCCACAAGTTCAAAGGCAAATTAATTGTTCGTGATATTGGCAAGCAAGAAACAAAAGAGAAAACAAAATGAAACACCTGTATGTCTTTGGATGATAGACACTGTTTTACATTTCTACATATCGAGAACCTCTAAACGGGTGAATCTCACGAAAACACGTCCAGATCACATTTCGCCCGAAAATCAAAGCAAAAAATATTTTTGCATAACGAACATGATGCCTATATTTATGTAAATTTAAATGCTTTGCAAATGAAATAATATATCCTTTTTTTTTTTACATTACAGTAATGAGAAAACTTTTTTTGCATTACAATAGTAAGAATGTAAGAGTCAAATGTGCTTCGTTGTGATGAAAACAGAGTCACAATGAAAATGCAAAATGAATGGTTCGAATTTAAGCATCCTTTTCTTCATGCAAAATATAATTTCTCATTTCTCATTAAATATGACCTGAATATGTTCCTGACAGGTTTTGTGATATTCACCCTAAAATCCGTTTGAATGAAAAACCCATTGGCATAACATCTCACAAAGCTCACACTGACCCACACTTGTATTCAATGATCACATCTCATCATTTCAAGTTTGGAAAGTACCTGAAACTTGTGGGAAGCATTTTTGTTTATCATCATATTTACACATCGAAAGTCCCACAGTCCTGCAGCTCTGTGAAGCTCTTTCATATTGTTTGCATGACAAGTTTTTGTGGTTGCAAAGCACTCTGGGAATTACAGCTTTCAGGCAGATTGGTTTGTAAGGCTGGATGAATTGGCTTTTTTCAGAGACAGGCTCATTAGAATATGTCCTTGAAGCACCTGCCTTCCTTTTCTTTGGTTTTTCAGCTTTTTTAGTAAGAAAAGTTGCTGATATATTACTATGGGATGCCTTTTCTTCTTATTTTTTAATTATAATCTTTCTATATACACCTGATTTTCCTGTGAGACTTGTGTCCTCCTTTAGTTTTGATCCCGTATGGAGCATCCAGAGCAAAAGCTCTCTCATTTCTGGTCACTGGATCACTTTGGTTGTCTTAGAAGCGATTGACATGTCATAGAAGCAATTAAACGATCAAACATGCAAGACTTTTCACCTGTTCTCTTAATTTCCTCCTCTTCAGTCTTTCTGCACACTATTTCTCAGTAAGGCCTCCAGACGGACTCGTCTATGCGTGTCGATGCACTCATTGCTGTGGGCGAGTTGCTGTGGCTACCGTCGGCATCCACACCGTCGCTCTGGTTGCCGAGGCTGGCGTTGAGCAGGCTGTTGTTTCCGGCTCCGCCCGCCGCGATACAGGACGTCAGCATGCGGGTGGGCGACCTGTCGCCTCCCGATCCGGTGCCGCCAGTCGGAACCATGGAGAACTGGTAGGAGCCGGATCCGGTGCCGTAGTACAGGTGGTACGGTGAGGAGTTGGTCTGGAAGTGGGAGTTCTGGTTCTGGTTGCCAGGGTATGGAGGCGGAAGGTAGGTGTGGTAGCGGCTGGAGGTGGGCATCCCGGCCACGCTGAGACCACCGATTCCAGTGCTGGACGGGTTGGCAGAGTAAGTGAAGGGACCCGGATAATGCATGTGTGAATCAGAGAAACGAGGTGCCGTTAATGGAGAGAGAGACGGGAAAGACGTCCTCTGAGGGAACAGATCCGTACCTGAACGACAAAGATAAAGAAAGTGTCACTTTAACATTTAAACAACAAAAAGAGTAACAGAATGCAAGTCATGTCAACAAGATGCCATGCTTTTCCCATGATTACTAAACAATGTTTACATTTTTAATCATTTTTTTAAAATTCAGACCAAGACAAAACTAAGAAATAAAATATTATTATATTTACTTACTTATATTATTTTTTTTAAATTTTATTTACTATATATTTAAATAATTTACTATATATTTTTTAGTAAATTATTTACTATATATTTTTTTAACTTAACAATATATATATATATATATATGTATATATATAATTTGCATAAAAAGTAATACATTTAATAAATTGTTAATTAAAATAAATACAAATTCTAAATGTTTGTGATCACCTGTCTGTCTTTGGATTATAGACATAGTTTAACATTTTTACAAATCACAATTCATCCTAAAATCAAAACAAAAAATATTTTTGCCTTAAAAATGATGCCTATAAATTTAAATGATATGCAATTAAAATAACTATTTTTCCACAATAATGACAACAAGACTTATAATGCTAAGAATTTGAACAATATATATATATACAACAAAAAGAGTAATGATATGGCCACATATTTTGGCCAAAACATTTTCATGCTTTTCCCATGATTAATAAATAGTGTTTACATTTTTGAATTGAAGTTAAAAATAAAATAAAGTTTATTAAAAAAATATATTTATTTAATAAATTATTAATTCAATAATTACAATTATTAAATATATATATAATCATACATTTTTATGACATTGCTATTTATATTAATATGTATATGAATATACATTAATCTGTCAAATGCATCACATGAACTGCCTCAGAACTCTATTGATACACTGATCTTACGCCACCTAATGTCATTAGTGAACTCCACATGATCGATTGATAAACTGTAAAAGTAAAAACAGTGCAATCCTAATGTTATGAGGCTGGGGAGGAAGAAGCTGATGAAGACTGGTATACTCTGATGTCTGGAGTTTCATTTAGTGTTCACGTCCTGTGCGTCATGACTTTACAAACAGGTGTAAGAGAAACGACTGCTGCCTGTTTCTGCCAGTTAGTTTTGTTTTCTGGTTTTATTTTTCCGCTTATTGGCCACATACGAGCAGGGGCTTCTGGGATACTGGAGCAGGCTTTGGCATGCCAGCGCCTGAGGGAGGAGAATGCTGTCTGTGCGTGCCACTGACTCGTTTAAAATGCTCTCCACCCGTTTGTCTGGGGCACTGGGTCCATTTGCAAACAGAAACAGAGAAAAACATACAGCTCCATTTCAATTTCCTCAGACCATGCTCTCCCTCTCTCTTTCTCTCAGAGGGGTGTTGACTTTCTCTTTTACCCGTTTGGGGGGCCAGAATCTGATTTGCACTAAGGAGAATTCAAGATTTCAGCTGCCTTGATTGAACTGAAATGGCCACAACTTCCTGCCAGTCTAATTACATATTTAATCACTCGTCATTTTTACACACACACACACACACACAGACACACACACACACACACACACACACACACACACACACACACAAACACACACACACACACACAGGTTTGTTTTTATGGTTTATGGGGGACTCTCCATAGGCGTAATGGTTTTTATACTGTACAAACTGTATGTGCTATTGCCCTACACCAACCCTACCCCTAAACCTACCCCTCACAGGAAACTTTCTGCATTTTTAGATTTTCAAAAAAACTCATTCTGAATGATTTATAAGCGTTTTGAAAAGTGGGGACATGGGGTAATGATGGGGTAAAAGACGAGATTAATTACTAAAAGCGGAAATCTGACAAATGAGTTGAGAAACAGCTGCAAACCAGATATAACAGCCAAACTGTAGACGCAGTTTACCACATTACCCTCACAGACACACATTCACTCAGACTCAGTGTCTCCCTCTAGTGCCTGACAGGATATTTACAACATGAAAGGTTCCAGAACAGAGGTTTTCAACCTTTTCAAGCCCCTTGGTGGCTTAACCATAAAAATAATACCTCAACCCATTATTGAGCCCTTTTTGAAGACCAGTGCTCTAGAGAGTTACTAGTTTGCTGTGTTTCTCAGCAGAACCATCTCACACATGATCTGCATTAGTCTCAGTGGACAAACTTTAAAAACTGAGAAAAAAAAGAGCAGAAAACCATGTGGTATAACCCATAATTTGGTGACATTTTCCACTTTTAAATATTACAGTTTGATGATTCTGACAACATTTAAGGGAGTGAATTCGCTTTTTTTTAACCAAGGATTTAAATAGAAGTAGATTTTTTCTTACACAGTATTTTATTCATTATGTTTACACTCACATTGGCCTTCTCATGTTTTATATTAATATCAATATTACCAATAACATCAATGTTAATATTATTAAAGTCTATAATTGGGAAAATAACAAATACAAATATTAATTAACATTATTAATAAATATTCATAAAAATATTTTTTTTTTGCAGAATCAATATTAATATTTTATATTGATATAATATAAAAGTAATGGTTTGATTTTATCCACACAAAATTTTTGGGGTTTCTCTTACACTCAGTATTTTTATTATGTCTCACATTTGCAGTGTCATGCGAAATATAAATATAAATATTAATAAAATTGTTATTGGGAAAATAACAGACATTTCTAAAGAAAAATATTAAATATGAATAAATAAATTAATATTAAAAAACGGTTAATGGGAAAAAAGTTCTGCAGAAACAATATTAATATTAATGACTGTTATGTGGAAAATAACAGAAATTTTTAATGAAACATATTCAATATTAATAAATATGATAAATAAATGAATATTAATTAAAAATGGTTAATGGGACAAGTTCTACAGAAACAATATTATTATTAATTTTAATGCAAATATTTTAATGCTAATATTAATAAAAACTTTCAAGGGACATTTGGTCTTGGCACAACCAAGCCATGATGACTACTGAGGGGAAAAACATCCTTCAGTGCAGTCTATGGCAGTTACGGCCCTGGTACTTTACTAAGGTGGGAAAAAGCGCTGCTTTAAAGTTCAGCAGTAATTTTTCGAAATGAAAATAAATGGAAAAAATGAACATTCTCCAGTGAACAGCCCCTATCAAATGCTGTTATCCTTCCCCCATTGTGTTTTCGCCCATCACAGCGATCAGTTCAGTTCGTCGTGTTCCACTAGCCCACAGTCAAGCGTGTAACCCGGCTCACTACAGAGGTTTGCTTCATTTGACTGCTGTAGAAACTGATTTTGTTTGTTAACAGAAGAGCAAGCAGTTGCTAGTCGGCAGGAATTGTGCATGTTTGTGTGTGGGATCAGGGTTCTGGTGAGGATGCAAATCTCGGCCCTCACCTGTAAAATGGCAATGCAAAAGCAGACGGATTACACCTGGACCAGGCAAATCATGTGGCCAGGAGAAAGAAAGACATATATACTTGAAACTCTTTATAATCTAATCCAGTCATGTATATTTGCTTCAGAATATAGGATATCAAAAATACCACATATCCAACAATCATACAATGATGTGGATCCCAGACTTGCTTACTAGTTCATGGTTTGAGTTTCTACTATGTGGTTTTATGCTCAACTGGTGACACAAACCCACAGGAACCAACCAAACAATCACTAGATGTAACTCAACTATGCCATATACAGCGGCCTCAAACTATTATTTTTAACCAAATGGTGTTGCAGAATAAGTATTAACATGTTCCACTAACGTTTGATAATTTGTCTGAACGTCTACAATTTAAATATTATATCTATTGTTTTTTAACCCAGCAACATTCTTTTTGTAAAATATCTTGCTTGATAAGCATGTTTGTGCTTTATATATAGACTCAGCTTCGAAACACTGATTTGTATTGATTTTTATCAAACTAATATATATGTTAAAATATGTTTATTTATTATATATAAATGACATTATTATAAAGAATGATAACACAAACACACTTTACAACAAAAAGAATGTTAAAAACTATAGATATATTATTCAAAATCTAGATGTTTGGACAAATTATGGTTGCAATCTCATATATTTATAGGCTATTTTTCAAAATGACAAACCGATGGTTTACAAGCAGGTAGAAACCTGGAGCTGGGCTGAAATGGCTAAATGTTTGCACTGGTTGATGTTGATGAATGATAACTGAAGGTAATGGCATATCGCTCCAACAGGCAGAGAACCTGAGACGCAGGCAAACATGTAGATCTTGTGTGTTTATGTTAGAGCTGTAGTCCATAAGACAACACGGCACGTCGCATGCAAACTAGCTCATCTCCGACATGTGCCGCGCTGCCATCTCATACATCAGCACGTCTCAGGTTACCATTCACAAACATCTGATACTGTACTGGAGATTTACAAAGCAGGTCGTTGATTCAGGACCTGGAGATGCATTTGTGAATAAATCAGGAATGCTTTTTTAATTTTTTTTTCTCCAGTGAGGAATTTTGACCTTATTTACTCTAAAATCCATTTGTTGAAACGACTGCATTATTATTGATCCAAAAATCACAATTATTAAGCAAACATGTAGATCTTGTGTGTTTATGTTAGAGCTGTAGTCCATAAGACAACACGGCACGTCGCATGCAAACTAGCTCATCTCGGACATATGCCGCGCTGCCATCTCATACATCAGCACGGCTCAGGTTACCATTCACAAACATCTGATACTGTACTGGAGATTTACAAAGCAGGTCGTTGATTCAGGACCTGGAGATGCATTTGTGAATAAATCAGGAATGCTTTTTTAATTTTTTTTTCTCCAGTGAGGAATTTTGACCTTATTTACTCTAAAATCCATTTGTTGAAACGACTGCATTATTATTGATCCAAAAATCACAATTATTAAGCAGCCTTTGCTGTTCTAGGACATTGAAAGGAATCAATATTCTTTCGGAAGCAATTATTATGAAATAGAAGAACTGTTGGATCTCATTATTCGATCATTGCAGTTCAGAGCGGTGAGTCAACATTACACTCACGCAAGCTCCAGTGAGGAATTTTGACCTTATTTACTCTAAAATCCATTTGTTGAAACGACTGCATTATCATTGATCCAAAAATCACAATTATTAAGCAGCCTTTGCTGTTCTAGGACATTGAAAGGAATCAATATTCTTTCGGAAGCAATTATTATGAAATAGAAGAACTGTTGGATCTCATTATTCCTGTAGGCGTTTCTGATCATTGCAGTTCAGAGCGGTGAGTCAACATTACACTCACGCAAGTCTGCAGCACAGAACACATGGTATCTGAACCCACAGCACAAATGGAATCTATTTAATATCGCAATTGTTTCTCGTGGACAGCAATGGAGAGCAAAATGAAACTCTTCTACTCCTCAGATGTTTCTCCTAAGAAAAACACCTCAATAATCTCCTCCAAACTTTCAGGCGAGTTCTCCACACAAATACAAACATTTCTCATCAAGTTCTTCTAAGCCCAAATAATCTGAGCTTTTAAACATTCACTGTGTTACACAATAATTGATCTATTTTAAGGACTTTTAAGAGAAACATCTGAGACAAAATTGGTACTTAAAGGGATAGTATACCCAAAAATGAAAATGGACATCATTCACTCACCCTCATGCTATTCCAAACCAGTATACATTTCTTTCTTATGTGAAACATAAAAGAAGATGTAACCGAACAGTTTTGGGTCCCATTGACTCCCATAGTAATTTTTGTCCATACTGTGGAAGTCATTGGGACCCAGAAGGGTTTGGGTTTATTAAAAAAAATCTTCTTTTGTGTTCCACAGAAGAAAGACATGAGGGTGAGTGAATGATGACAGAATTTACATTTTTGGGTGGACTATCTCTTTGAATCAAACATTAAAAAACTTAATTAAATCGTATGATTCTAAAATGTTTTATATTTCTGTATGCCACCGTGCAGAGCGAAATGGCAGAAGGCGGACGTGAAACTGAGGAGGAGTTTATGGCTAAATGAGAAGCTACCTCTACAATCTGGTACTGATTTGGTCAGGGCTGTACAGTGCAACAAAAAAATCGATCTGTGCGATGAAATAATGTACTACAGTAGCACGTGCGCAAGAGATTTATTGACATACTTTTACTCCAAATTCACTTCATAACATTAGTCGAATGTTTGAAATAACTTCTTTTTGTGACCAGATGTGGTTTCATATCACAGAATGAGGCAGAAATTTTTAGTATTTCAGAAATACATTTTACAGTATTCTAAAAAGTGACAAAGGCTATGTTGATTAACACTGCATTATACATATACTTTATTCTTATAAAAATACCCAAGATGGCTTGAAGACCACAGAGAAACCATATGTTGTCACAATCGTGTGTTTAGTGTCTTCATATTTGATTAGTTTAAGTGTGAATCTATCTTCTTTTTACTCTTTTTACTCTGGATTACTCTTTCTAATAGCTGGATGTCTTTGTCCATATTAGGGATTTCCTGGAACATCATCAGTTCTATTTCTTCTGTGACGCATATGTGGAGTTTCTGCTCTGGCTTCCAGTATGAATGAAACAGACATTACATTACGTGTGTGCTCACAACACCCTATTTTGTGTAAAAATAGAAAAGATTATCCTTCTCTCTAAAGAAACTGGAGGTTTTTTTTGTCTCTCAGTGGATGCATATGAATTATCTACTGAGAAACATGTATGCCAGATCAACCCATTTTGTACTACTATTTTTTGATGAAAAAATGCATATATATATATATATATATATATGTGTGTGTGTGTGTGTGTGTCACCCTCATAAATAACTACTGAAGGTACCGAACGAAATTATACACTCAGTTGAGGAGTGACAATATTTTTAGCTGCAGTGTTGCCTTTAATAAACGTAAATTATTTCCTCACATCACAGAGCATGAATTCTGATGAAACTGCCATCTGGTGTTTTGAAATATGCCACCTGATACACAGTGAGTCTATTAGAAATAATAAATCAGTCAAAGTACAATTAAAGAAAGCTATAACTTAAATGTCACAGGGGCTGATGTGACAAAGGGAATCTTGTGTGTGTTTGTGTGTGTTGGAGATAAAAATGACTCAGCTGGTTTGGATGTTTGGGGTTTGCGGGAACAGGAAGGGCAGGAATTCTGCGTTGCCGTGGGGAAGGAAAACCGTGCCAGAACCAGGTACGTGGCTGTGTGCCCATAGCAGCCAGAGTTTGTGTGAATGTTTTCGAGTGTTTATATGTGTGTGTGTGTGTGTGTGTGTGTGTGCCAAAGTAAGTGTGTGTGTCAAAGATGAACTATGTGTGCTTGTAAGGTCTCTTACTTGACCAGCGTAAGTCGTCTTCCACTTTGCAAGTCTTCAGTGCAGAAGAGTCAATCTGATCTGGCCATAATGCTACAACAAAAAAATATATATACATATTTAATCACTCGTCCTTTTTACACACACACACACACACACACACACACACACACACACACACACACACACACACACACACACACACACACACACACACACTGCACAGTTGACACGGGAATTGTCACTTGCACAATCGAGGCAGTGTCACATCGTCACTAAAGTTTATAAATTGCATTACTTTTTAATTCTTGCCAGTTTAATCATTCAGCGCCCGCGAGCTCTCCTGATGCACACTCGCAGCGCACACACACAATGCCAGGTTCACATTACTCTGTTTGCAGTGCGTATGTGGTGCGTATTTTTTCCACGCTCATGTTAGCAGATTAATAAAGCGTGCACACTGCACACAGTTGCGGTCCGACAGTGTGTTCAGGAGTAGAAGTAAATGCAAAAGTACAAAAGCATTGAATAATGTGTTGCTTATGTTTATTGTGTTTAAACATGTCTGTGAAAGATTGTATTACTGTACTGTGTAAAAAAAGAATTGCAATGCTGAAAAAGCACTTTCAGTGACAATGTTTGTATTTGAAATCAAAGAAGAAGACTTTAAAGAAGGCTTTAAAAAGATCGGTATCAGTGATCAGTATCGGCAGATACTGCTTTCTGTGATCGGTGATCGGCCAAATATACATTAGCACAATTAATAATAAGGCACAATGTGATATTTAAAAAAATTGGAAATATAATTTTTATAAAATAAAATATAAATAAAAAATTATTCCAACATTATTTTGTATCTCTATATTCAAATGTATATATATTTCCTCTTAAAAGTAGCTGTAAATTAATACAAAAATTGTTGATTCAGTTGATTAAACTGATTCATGGAAGTAGTCTAAACTTACAGTATCGGGGATGCTGTTGCTTAATTTTAATTTTATTTTGGAAGCGAAATCATCATTAATATACAGTGCTTATTAGATATGCCGCCCAGCCCTGAGTGCGTATTTGTAGGATTGCGACACGATGAATTTGTCCACACATGTTCAGTGTGAGAGAGCTGCTAGTGTTTTCATCAAAGGTGCAGAGAAAAACAAACATGAAATCACATGCTGGTGTCATATTACACACACACACACACACACACACACACACACACACACACACACACACACACACACACACACACACACACACACTCTGAGTAAATAACTCTATCTCTCACAAAGAGTGTGTGTGTGTGTATATCTC